TCTCAAAGTTAGGATACTTTTATAAATAGTCTTTATCTGATAAGTGAAATCTCAGGCATCACGCAATAGTTATTATTAATGATTAACCTTGTTTATCTTCCTTGTGAAGGTCATAGACTACAAATGGCTTGGCAACTCTGAGACAAAGTGAATTCTTTTTCCAATTCTTCAACTCTTTTCACACGCATACCTGAAAAACATCTTTATTATGATCTTTGACTAACAGTTTATACCTACTGATAGAAAGCAAATCGTCTAGAAGTTTTTCTATGTACTTTATATATTTTTAAATATCTGCTAATTTCTATATTGTCATGGCTACAGAGTGTCAGGTTGACTCATTTGTTATTTATAGACGCCTTGGAAAACCCAGATGCAAGCAAAACCAACGCTAAAACTCCACATTTCGGCAAAGATGTTGTGCACCCACCGTCTCGAACGAAGCCCACCACTGGCCCTGACTACTGCCAACTGGCTTCCGAAAAGTTTCAGTCACCTACAGACATCATTTCATCTCGAGCTGCACAACTCAGTTACTTAATTTTGTGCAAAACTGATACATCGACTGCTGATACTCGCAAGCCATTAAAACTTCTGCCCTCTCAGATGGCCCGAGCAAAACTGACCACTTATCCACATGATACCGTGAAGTTGACTTCTTTACCAGCACGAAACACTAACGTGTTAGCTACAGTCAGTACGAGTCCATTTTGCCGGGCCGACACTATCGCAATGGCCACTACCGACCATTCCAGTGAATCACAGGCCGGTGTGCGGAAGAGCCAAGTAGAGCTGAAACGAACATTTAAGGGTTGGAGACCAGTGAAATGTCCCAATGCCGGCCTTTGGACGGGAGGAGAGGGCTTGGACATCGCGAAACAGGTTGGCCCAAAGGTCCAGGCTGGAGTGAAGATTCTCGATGTCGCAAGGAGGGAGAACGACAGAAAGGATGTGTCTCTGCGATCCTGTGCAATCACTCGCCGGAAGGAGGAAGCAGGGAAAAAAGGCATTTGTGAACCGGTAGGTGATAAATGTGTCAGGGAACCGGCCAAACTGGATATACGTAACTGCTTCAAACCTACACAAACGGTTGAAACTAGTCATGAGATGGCCAATAGCCTCATACTGGGCCTGAGTTAAAAACAATTGAGATAATGGAAACTATATTTTCGAATTAAGTATTGTTTTCGTGTCTACTAGTAAATCAGTAATATGAGATGAATTCAACCAATTTCGTTTAAGGTTATGAAGGACTGATAGAAGAATTTTCCCACAATGATATGAGTAGAGCTAACGTTTCCATTGAATTTCACATAGCCTTGCTTTCCCCAAAGTTGTTCTCATCCAGACAGAAGTGGACTGCAGTTTCGACCTCGCATCAGTCTTATCAACACCCTCAGCAGGAGTCCAACCGCGACAAAGCAGGATGGAAGCTTGACATGCTAACCACTCGGCTACACTGCCACGAGCGCCTTTTGGGTCACAGGGAAAATGTGAATTTTCAAGGAAGG